TTTAGGCTTAGTTTGGAAGGAGTATAAATGTAAATATGTAGAGCGTAAAATCTTATATTTTGTATTATTTTATATATTTATACTGTATATATTTGCATTTGTACTCTTTTTAAACTRAGCCTTAGGTTAGACTCAGTTTGGAAGGAGTACACATATTAATGCAAATTTATAGAGTGTAAAACCTTGTATTTTACATTATTTTGTATATATTTGCACTGTACATATTTGTTTGTACTCCTTTTAAACTGAGCTTAAATGAATAAATGGATAATATTGGTCAAAATATTCAACAAATAAAATCAAGTAACCAATCAAAAACCACATACAACCATTAATTGTAAGATTAAGACAATGAGAATGAATGGAATAACAATGAATGTAGTATGTATATTGAATTCATGTGATCATGTATCTACATGTATCTATTATTAATGGATTTCACTATGATGCCAGAAAGACATGATATCAAAAAAACTTACAACCAAGTGGGTTTTTGTTAAAATTCACGAGACATTGTGATTGGTTAAAGCCTTTTTGATATCATGCATTTGTGGTGTCATAGATTTTTTCATTACTAATATATATGCATACATACATATAGGTATATTTTTAGCAATGAAGGATTTGGGCTCCGGAMATCCTGCCCACAAGAATTCTACCCAYGTCTACACACAATRCAGTACTCCCGTGCATTAGGAACATATCTCTCYGTGCATAACACTATATACAAGGATGAGATATTCTCTATATGTAACTACAATATTATGTGAATAAACATGRACAGAATTCTTGTGGGCAGAAAATCCGAACTTAAGGATTTGATCCAATGCATTTCAATAATCTTAAGGTTTTTGGCATATTGATCAAATACTTTATTTATTTTTTTGATAAAATTGTATTGATCAAATACATGATACCATGACTGGTGGGCCTCGCAAGAAGTATTGTGGTCCCACCTCCATGAGTGTATCTATTATTCAAATCTGATGCTCAAATGCTCTCTTGTTGCTATGTTTCTTGCTGCCATGTCCTGTGTAATTGTTTATTCCCTAATTGCTATTTGGAATTTACAAAGTAGATATGATTATTTTCTTTCCCTTTCATTCTCCCCTATATTCTCTTTTTTTTTTTTGTCTTGGTAGCATTTACAAATCCTCCTCGAGGATTGGAATCTAGGGTTTGTTTGTTTCTCACCTCACTCTTCCCCAGATTCTTTTTTATTCATTCATTATTTAATCGGTAATATAGAATTGATTTCTTGGGCTTTTGGGTGCAAGGAGAAATCGTCAAGAAAGGTATCTGTGTGGGTGGGGCCTTTTATAACCGGAATCTTCAAGCATTCCCATTGTTAGAAGCAACCACCAATAATTCGCTTCTCTTTTTCTTTCATTGTTTCTTCTTAGTGAATACAATGACAAAAGCCAAATATTAATTAATGCACCCTTGACCCCTCTCTCACGTCACTTGGACTCTCTTCCCTTTCTACAACAAACCTTACTTACAAAAAATATATAGATTGTGTTTGGTTGCAGTACAATTTTATTTACATTAGTACAAATGAAAAAAAAAATACAATTTTCATTTATTTTGTGCATGTCTTAATTTACTTCATTTGTATTGCAATCAAACAAAATAAGTTAAAATTTAAAACAAAAATATGTCAGAATTTACACTCAAATCATTTGTGCTGCCATAGTTTTGCATCAGTGCAAATTTATTTGCATAATTGCATTGCAGCCAAACATAGTTTAATTAATTCCATTTCATTTATGAAATATTTTTCTCAAATCCACATACTTCCATCAAGTATAATGTAAATTAAGGGGTTTTTTTTGCAAGATGAATGTTTTTGTTTTCATTAGTTTTTTGAATTGTCATGTCAGAAAAAAAAAAAAAAAACAAAGGGTTCAACTAGACGTATAACCAATTAGTTAGTATGAGTATCATAAAAGTGGTAACCAATTGGACGGATTTGAATCACAATTCATGGAGGGTTTCATTGGTCAAAACCTTTGCAGTATCATGTCTTTCTGGCATCATAAAATTTTCCAAGCAAAAACATATGTTCTTGGACTATGTTTTTGTTTTTGAGCAGCAAAAATAAGTTAGTTTTGTTTCAAAACCATCAAAATGGTGTAAAAAAATGTTAAGGGTACAGATATTGATTGATTTATGAAAGATGATGAGATATGTGCTGTATAATTTAAAACAAAAACAAGTTTTAAAATCAGAAATTCAAGAAAGTGTTTTTAACTGGTTTCATGCAATTTATTTAAACCAAACAACACATTTACAACCCAACCCAAGAACATGTTTTCGATGTTTTTGTAAACTAGATGATTTTAATTTGTTTTTAATACTCATAACAAGAAAAAGAATTGAGATTGAAGTTATGACCACCTGATTTTAGATATTACAATATTTAATATATACAAATTTTGGAATTGAATTACTATAGATATATGAAGGATGTTCACATACAGGATTGCAACCAAACCCAACAAATAACAATCACAGCCCGAAATCGGTTTCAGTACTCACAATGCACGATGTAGGTATACTGTTCTCATATTCCCTTGCACTGTTGCATTAAGAATATATCTCCATGAAGAAAAACCAAAGATATTCCCAATATAAATGATGTAAAAAGTTGTATGAACTGTATGAATACAGTCTTGTGAGCACTGAACCCAATCTCTCACAACCCACGGGCACCGATCAAATATTGTGGCGAAGGGGAGGGAATTGGGGCTATCACCATAGTGATTATATTTGTTTAAAATATTAATGATGGGTAAGGTTATTATGGAGAGATCGATGGTGACTGATGAGTTTTAAGAACACTCGACCATCTTACCTAGTTAATCTATAGGATTATTAAATGGTTGAAAGGGACATGCATCGACATGGTGCAATACGACAATGCAATGTTGGCTCTCTACTAATTTTAATTCACCAGTCCAACGTCGGAATCGTTGTTGGAGTCCATTTGCACAAGTGGCCAGCGTGTTCATTTCTTTCTATCTTTTGATTCTAGCTAAAACACTTGCACCATTCTTTACAACGGAAATCCTATTAAAAATTATCAAAGAAAGAAAGATGGATCTTCTACACTTCTATATCTTTAGCAAGAATAGCTAGAACATATTTTCCACCTCTGCCCCTGATTTTGAAACAGATCTCTATCCCCAATTCTGATTCTTGTAAAGGGATAAAAGTTACCCTTCATCCTTGATTCTTGATAGAGATGAATTCCCTAAGAGATTTAAATTCCTGAATTTTTTAATTAAAAGTACTTTTTTTTAGAAAATAAATTTACTTAAAATAAAGAAAACGTTTTAAAATATAAATAATATTTTAAATAAATATATATTTAAATAATATTTAATATATATATATATATATAATTGGTATCGGAGTCGAATCTTTATTAATCCATCCCCAACCCGCGAAGGCAATTTCCATCCCTTACCCCATGGGGTCGTTACCCGACCATCCCTAATCTTTAGTTAATATCTTAACAATAATTAGGTTTTACGACTTGTGATGCTTATGAAGATTTTTTATTTTTATTTTTTGCTTTTTAGGTTCATTAGCACACAATATGCGTACTCCATCCTTCATGCTCATAAACCCCCAACCTAAGGCTGTGTTTGGAAATGATGCAAATGGAGTGTAAATCTCGGTTCAGGGTAAATTCGCATTCCGATTAACTTTTGCCTGTGTTTGACAACATTACATTTTTGAATTGACAAATGACAAACCAATGCATATTTACATTGATAATAAGATGTAAAAGTACATCAATAAAAAGGGAAAATCTATGATGTGGAAAAGATATGGAATTGAAAGAGCTTTGACCAATCAAAACCCACCCATGAATTTTGATAAATAACACGTAATTGACTACCACGTTTCTGATTCTAGTTGACTGGTCAGAAGTTTTTCAGATATCATATCTTTTCCATATCATAGTCGAACCCAAAAAGCCAATAAGAAAGAAATAAATTTGCATCCAAGTGGGCTTTTGATAAAAAAAAAAGCATATGCTTTATTGAAATTCATGTTTGCATCCATTACAAGTAAAAGTCTGTTTGGTAAGAAGGTAAATTTTCAGTGCAAAACTAACTCAACTTTGCAATTTATATGAACCGTTTTACACTCTACATATTTGCATTCACACATATTTGCATCATTTCCAAACGCAACCTAAGGTAGTAGTGGGATTCATTCAATCTCAAGTCTATCATTCCAATTAAGTCAACAAAGTCGTAATTGGCTCCAGGTTGGCAATTGTAATAGTGGATTCTTTCATTCTTTTGCCTCCATTAGACGGTGTAATAAAAATAATCTCTTGGCCAATGTTTTCAAAATTGGACCAGACCAGACGATCAAATTGGAAAAATTGGGAACTGGTCACT